TGGAGGAGTAGATCTAGAGAACAGGTTGTAGACGACATAGAATTAATAATTTTAGTTAGTTCTAAAAGATTTATTGGAGTAAATACAGAGAAAGATTCAGTAGTAAGTTTAGTAAAGTTATGAGAAGGAAAATTAGAATTAGATGTTCTTAAAGAAGTAATTTTATTTACAAAAAAGTCATGAAACTGTTGAGCAGAGAAAGATGAGTGAGAAGATTTTTTATGTAGAAGTTTAGATAGAACAGACCACCTATTTTTAGATGTTGAAGCAGATGTTATAGAATTTCTAAGAAAAGTAAAGTGTTTAGAGAATAGTAGATATTTATAATTAATCAATTCAGATTCATAGATAGAATAAAGAGAGTTAGATGGATTTAACCTATAGGCTTTCTCCAGTCTTCTAAGACTTTTCTTGGCTACTACACAAGCATAATCAAACCAAGGAGCCTTACGAGAATAGAGCCTATAAGTAAAAGATTTAAGAGGAATAAGCTTATCAAGAATAGAAGTAATGTAGATATTAAAAGCACAGACAAAATCATCAACATCAGAAAATAAGGTGGTATCAAAAATAGGTTCAGTAAGAGATTGAAGAAAAATATCTTTATTAAGAGAAGACCAGCATCTTTTAGAAATAGACATAGATGAATTTGAAGGATGACGAAGATGATAAGGATGACGATGATGAGGAAAATGATGATAATAAAAGTAAGATTAAAATAATAAAAATGATAAACTGTACGGTATATTGTGATGACGATTGGCGACGGACAACGGAGATGATGAGGCCGATAACAATGGCGATTAGATGAAGATGGTGGAAATGATAACGACAATGACGATGGTGAAGATGATGAGAATGATAACAATGGTGATGGTGAAGATGACGACGACGACGGACGGCGATTGTTTTGTGTCGTTAGTGCTAATTCAATTTGCAAGAACCCTAGCAGTAATTGAATAAGAAGCCTCTTTATCAAGGCGTTAATTGTCTAGCTCAATCATCGCCACCGCCACTAGCGTCGTCGTCGTCATCGTTGTCGTCGTCATGGTGGTTGTTATAATGATAATCTTCTTTATCATCATCATTAACATCATGATTGCCATCATCTTCTTCATCTTCATCATTATATTTTATTTATATTTTCATTTCTTCTACGATTATTATTTTCGTCATCTCGTTCGTTATCGCTGCTTATGTTATCATCATCATCGTCATCATCGTCATCATCACTATCATCATCGTCGTCGTCGTCGTTGTCATCATGATTCTGGCATGTGGCGCTATATAAGTTATTCGCCTGACCAAACAATGAAAAGTCCAGTTGATCAAAAGAAATAAAAAGTTTCAATGTTTGACCGGACAAGCGAGAGGATGATTAAAAGAAGGAAGTAAAGGACGAACGAACGAACGAACGAATGAATGATAGAATGAATGAAAAAATAAATGTATGGTTGGATGGGTGAATGAATGAAAGAATGGGGAACGTCTGGTTGAATCGGTAACAAAATAATTGAATGCGTCATAAAATAAGTGAATAAATAAATAAGAAGTTAAATGAATGAATGTACGGAAAATGAATATGCATATGATAGAATAAATATAATTCATTCGTTCGTTCGTTCATTCATTCATTCATTCGTTCGTTCGTTCGTTCATTCATTCATCCATTCATCCATTCATTCATGCATGCATGAACTAACATGTTGCCCATGGTGATTGAATGTCTGTGAGCGGTGATGTTCCGATGGTTATTGGCTGTCGGATCTCAAAGTTCGACTTGTCCTTGTACATAATACCGACCTGTCGATTCGATCGGAACAGTGATGTTTCAGTTCAACGAATCTTTAAATCGAATTTTAGAAAATTAAATATTTTTTTGTCTATTCATTCCTTCTTGTTTGTAAAAATAAATTCATAAAGTTAAATAAAAAAGAAATTTAAATATATGAAGAGAATGAGAGAGAGAGAGAGAGAGAGAGAGAGAGAGAGAGAGAGAGAGAGACAGAGAGGGAGAAAAATAAAAAAGTAGCATTCATTCTTTCCTTTGTTTATAAAAATAAATGTAAACATTCAAATGAAAAAAAAGGAAAAAAGGAAAGAAAGGGAAATAGAGAAAAAGCAAAATAAAAAAAACAACAAACTCCAACAAAAAAATGAAAAAACTTACAAAAGTCGAAATTAAAAAAGAGAAGAAAAACAAACAAACGAGACGAGAAGCACACTTATAAAGCCTCGGAGAAGCCACATTTATTTATTCATTACGTAACTATTGCTTTAATTTCTTCTACCTCAAAATGTAACGGAAACAGAAGCAAGGGATTTCTTCTTTCAAAATGAAAATTTTTTCGCAAGCAAGAAAAAAAGGTCTGTGGAACATAAAATTAGTGAGACATAAAATCCCTTCGAAACATAAAACTTTTCGGACGTAAATTTTTCAAAAAAGCATAAAATTGTTCATTTCCCTGACTGTAGGGCATTTAAAATTTAAATTCGGGCCGGCTTTCAATTCAATTTTTTTCCCTCCTTTCTCTCCCAGGAACAAACCGATAGGGACTAAAAAAACTGCTGTATTTGTTTTGCCCTTTGTATAAAAGAAAAATAATACAATTTTTGTAGGTTTTTATATTGTTTTTTGATGTTTTTGTATGTTTTTTCATATGTTTTTGTATGTTTTGAATGGTTGGATGTACATAGAGAGACATGGAAGAAGTTGAATTGTGTTAAATCAACTTTCATTGCGGTCAAGATGTGGGCGGTCTGATGTGAAGAAAAAGAAAAACACAAAGAAAGGAAGAAAATAAAATGAAGGAAAATTTAATTATGTGAAATAAATAAAAAGAATTATAACAAAATAAAAAATGAATGAATGGACGGATGGCTGAATAAAGGAATAAATGAATGGATGGATTTCGACTGAATGAATGAATGAACGAACGAACGAACGAACGAATGAATGAATGGATAGATGGCTGGCTAAATAAAGAAATGAATGAATGATGGATGGATCAATAAATGAACGAATAAATGGTGAAAACAAATTTGTGTTTTTTAAAGATAGGAAATTCAATTGAACAAAATATTTAATAAACGACAAATCAAAATTTATATTAATAAATGTTGGCGGGAAAGATTTTTTATCACAAGAAATCTTGAGTAAAAATTTTTTAGTCTATTAAGGTGTCATTTTGAAGTTATTAAAATTTTCAATCACAACATCATACACACACACCCGCACACACATTCACACACACAAACTCACCCGCACACACATACACGCACACACAAACACTCGCATACACGCACAAACAGACACACACAAGCACACGAACAAACACACAAAAACACACAAACAGGTACACACAAACAGACACACACATACACGCATAAACACAAAGACACATGCACGCAAACAGACACGCACACACAGACACACATATACACGCAAACAGACAAACACACACAACTCACAAAAACATTTATCGTTGAAAAATAATTTTACGATCCGATAAAACAATTTTTAGGTTTGGATTATGGTTTTAAGATGAAAAAAGGTTGTCGATAAGCACATTTATCAATATTTTTTCAAAAGTTTTGTTTATAATTTTGTTTTTCGTTTTGTTTTTTTGCTTGATTTTTTCCTATTTTTTTTTGTTTTTGAAAAATTTGCTTGGTGTTCCTATTGGGAAATGCTGTCTTTATTCGCGTGTCAGTTTGCATTTTCCAGCTTACTCCACTTTCTTCCAAAATCTTTTCTCTTCAACATTTTTACATTCTTTCATTCGCAAGTTTTGTTTTTAAAATTTAAAAAAGTAAATTTTAAAAAAATTATAATCAAAATCGAACACGTAGATTATGTGTTTAAAAATATGTGCACCAACTACGACTTCTAAGTCGTCCCTGTGGCCATCATGTAAGTGTTTAAGTGGATACATTTGAAGTTAACAGCATCACCAGTTGGATGAATTTTTGACACGGACATTCAACATACAAGAGAATTTTATAATGTTTTCTAAGATTTTGTTTCGCAAATTTCGAAGATTTTTTTGCTGTTCTAGATTAGGGAACATATTGTCGGCCGGCCTACACCTTCTTTATCATCATCACCATCATCGTCGTCATCATCACCATCGTTGTCATCATCACCATCATCATCATCATCGTCGTCATCATCACTATCATCATTATCGTCGTCATTATCACCATCATTTTGATCATTGTAGTTATAGTTATCATCATTAATACCATCACCACTACCATTATAAACATCTCTACCGTGGTCATAAACATCATCATTATGAATTATACCACAATTGAGTTTATTAAAAATTAAAATCATCATCGTTATCATTCCTTTTTTCCGGTGTTACATGATCCAATAGACCACAACCAGCAACACACTCACAAACAGTCACTACAAATACAATCATCGTCATTATCATCATCATCATCATAACCATCAACACGCCATCGTCATCATCATAATTACCACCACGCGCCATCATCATAATCATCATCATCAACACCAACCGTTACAGCGTAGGAAATTTCCACAATTTGTTTTTCTCCACCGATGCCTTCCAAGTCACCAACAGCAGATTCCCCACCTCCTCTACCCCCACCAACACAATCACCATCAATACCACCATAGCAACCAGTACCCCTTACACCATAACAACCACTGCCAGTACCTTCACCACTAATAATGTTGACATCGGTGACATTTGCCAAAATAGCAGACGATGAAAGGTGCGTAGGTGGCAGAGGCGGTATGTGCACGATGTCGTGGTAGTATGCCGTATCTCCCGGGTTCAAAACCCCTCCCGATACCCTGAATACGTCTTTTGTGTATTTCTGACATAGAAACTGCTTCGCCTTTAAATTTTGGTTTGTTTGTTTGGTTTGTTTAACTTGAAAAATAATAAAAATAGAAAAAGTGTTATGAATTTATTTAAAGGCTGGCTGGCTGGGCAATAGGCATAAAGATATATCATTTTTCCTCACAACCGCCTTGTTTCTCTTTTCCTTAATCTGTCCCTCTCTTCTTTCTTTCTCCGTCTGGCTTGTTATGCGTGCGTTTTAGCTGGTTAGCTTGCATGCTTACAAATATGCAAATGTGCCTCTGTAAATTAAGGGAAATACATACATGCATGAATCAGCGCCGGCCAAGGAACAATTTGTACATGATTGAAAGCCTGCTCGCTCGATGGCCATGCTCGCGAATATTACGTAAATGTGTGCATAAATATAAATGAACCCACGCATACGCACACACGCACACACTCACATACATACATACATGTCATACACACACACACACACAAATATGCAGTCCAACATACAGGAATAAATCAACATACAAAAATGTACATGGCCAGAAAAATATTGCATGAATCATACAAAAAACAAACAAAAAACCAAACAATCAACCAAACAAACAAACAACCAAACAAACAAACCACAAACCAACCAACTAACCAACAAACAATACAACGAAACATGTTTGCATTGTTCATAAACAATGCGAACATGACTTACGTCACGTGATGAGACTTTCGATTTTCGCGGGAAATTCCAACGTAGTCGTACTATCTGAACGTTTGAGTGATTGAGTGAGTAAGTGGAGAAAGAAAATGAATGAAGATTTTGTGATTGATTGAATGAATGAAGATTCTGTGAGTGAGTGACTGACTGACTGACTGATTGATTGATTCATTAAATCATTGCATGATTGAAGGAATGTGTGTAAGGATGAAGGAATGTGTGTAAGGATGAAGGAATGATAGATGATTAAATGGCTAAGTCTGAAAATTTGTCACTTAATTCAATTTAAAAATTTAACAATATGCGTGTGCAGCCAAATGAACGAATAAACAGATAGTATGAAGGAAAGAACTCTGGGAATGAATCAAAAAACTTGCCATTCAAGTAAAACTAACAACAAATTATCGTTATTTAGTCAAAGACAATCCTCCATCCGTACAACAAAAACAATAAAAGACAACAAAATCGCCACAAACAACAACAGCCATTCAATATGGAAACTTAAGCAATAAAATTCATCAAAAAATTTTTTCAAAAACTAAAAACTATGAATACACGCACGCACATACACACAACACAAGCAGACACACACACGCACGCGCGCACACACACACAATGCTACATCAAACTTTATTAATGTGTGAATAAAAAAGGTGTTGATGATGGTTTTGCATGGAAATATCTTGAAACCTGATGATGATGATGATAATGATGAGGACGGTTTATAACAACAACAACAACTACTACTACTACAATAACAACAATAACAATGACAACAACAACAACATCAACAACTTGTTTGAGAGCTACGTAGGTAGATCTAATGTATTTATAGCTTAAATTTTCAACGCCTGCCGTTACATTTACATCTTCACCAGGCACGAATCCTGTCTTCTCCAGCTGCAAACTACAAACAAATTTTTCATTTTGTTGATGTTGATGTTGTTGTTGTTGTTGTTGTTTGTTTTTAATTGATTTGTTGATTTTTTGTTGGGGCATTATTTTGTCGACAGTACGGCTATTTTCAATTTTGTCAGCAATTAAAATTGTTTCATTGTTGTCGTTGTTAAGGTTGTTGTGGTTTTTTGTGTTGCTGTAATTTGGGTTGTTGTAGTTAATTTTGTTGTCGTTGTTATTTTTCATGACGCACGTACTGCTACTACTGTCGCTGCTAATATTGGTTTTTGATGAAGTAGTTTGTGCGGAGGTTGTTTCGTGTGTTGAAGGACACTTCGCTGATTTGTGGCTCTTGTCGTCGATAGTATTGGTGGCTGTTGTGGTGGCGCTAGTAGCTGTTGTGGTTGTGTCAGCGCCGTTTTTGTGGCTGCCGTCACCACTTTTAATTGACAATAGTTCTAGTTGAGAGATGTTATTTTTGAGAAAATCTGTGCAAATTTTGCTGTTACTGTTGTTGTTGTAACAATAATGTTTGCTGTTGCTGTCATTGATGTTGTTGTTTCCGTGTTGTTGAAACTTTTTCCTGTGTCGTTGTTTTTTACCAATTTTACTGGAGCCATTTTTTCTATTGGCGCAACAGAATGAGTGGAAGCATAGGCAATTATTGAGAAAGCGAAAACATGCTCTGAAAATAGCGCAACAACAACTACAACTACTACAGCTACTACTTTTATTACCACTATTACTACTTTTACTGCTGCTGCTACTTTTACTGTTGCTGCAACAAATTCTGTAGTTGTTGTTCTCCGTGTTTAGTATTTTTTCACGTGTTAAGTACACTTCATTCTAAGAGAAATTTCATTTTGTGTTGTTGTTGTAATGTTGTTGTTAGTATTGTTGTTGACGTTATTATTTGTTATGATATTGTTGTTGCTGCTGTTGTTGTGATGTTAGTCGATGTATTTTTTTGCAGTCGAAAAATAGATAATAATTAAATTTTTTACCGCAAAATTAAAATTCCAATGATATTTTTTCCAACTTTTGAAGTAAGAAATTTAATTATGGGCAGGAAAAAAATTATAAGAAGTAAAAACTGAATAAAAAGTAATAATAATATTAAAAATAATAATAATAATATTTATAATAATAATAATAATAAAGAAGAAGAATTTTATCAATACTATCATCATTTATACTGATGCTTGTGAAATAGCAACACTCATCTTAGGGCAGATTCGAAAATAAAAAACGCCAAACATTATTATTATTTCTAATATTATTCGTAATTATATTATTGTTATTATTATTGATCATAATTATCAAAATAATTATTTAGAACAGACCTGGGCGAGCGGCACATACTTCAAGTCAAGAACACGAAGGACGATAAAAGAAATACTCTTGACGATTAATTGTTCTTTGCTATCTGCTGCCAGCAACAACAACGAATTTGATTTTTGTTTCTTTGGTTGTTGTTGTTGTTCTTGATGGTGGTGTTGTTGTGGGAGTTTATTAGTTAGATTTTGATGTTGCTTTAGTTGAAGATGTCGTTCTTGTTTATGTTGTTGCTGTTTTGGCTGCGTGGACTGCTGTTGTTGGCAACATTTTTGTTGTCGTTGTTCTTGTTGTCGAAACGTTTGTTGCTGTTGAGCGTTTTTAAAAGCAGGATAGTATACTAGGGTTGTATTTATGGAATAAGATACGTCTATTTCATAGCAGGTTTGTTTGGATCGATACGTTGAAGGCATGTTAGGAGAAAGTTGAAATGAAAAATCAACAAAATAGCAACCGACTTTCAAGTATGTGAGTTGTGTTGTCGTTTCGTTTGTGGTGTTGTTAGTGTTTTTGTTGTTGTTGTGGTTGTTGGTGTCTGTGTCAGCGGTAATGTTTTTGGTTGTTTTTTGTTTATTATACTTGAGTCGATGTAGTTCTTGTTTGTTTCTAGCTCGTTGTTGCTGTTGTTGTTGTAGAACGTGTTGTTGTTGGTGAAATTGTTGGTTTAGAACTTGCGCTGGTAATAACCCTGTTCATTTGAAGAAATTTTAAAACTTTTAATGTAAAAAGTTTTGAGAAAAACTTACCAATTTACTAAAGATAGAACAAAATTTCGTTCGTTTAAAAACGAAGTTTGCATGTTATTCTTGACAACTGATCAGACAAACACATACGATTACAAAAAATTAAATTTAAAAAAAAAGAAAGACTAGAAATATGACAAAAAAAAACAAACAAAAAATCTGAAACAAAATATTTCAAAGTTTTACATTAGCGTGCGGCTTATACTCGGTCACGTGATCAATGACGTCAGGAAGATGGACTGGGGTTATTTAAAAAATTGTTTTCACTTTATAAATCAATTTCCTCCATGGGTCTGTGTTAGAAGTAGCGTGCATATTTATCTTCTAGGCTGTTCTCAACTTTATTTAGAATCGTTCATCAATTGTATTTTGGACAAGTTCTCTAGAAATATTTGTATATTAATGTTCCTCTAACAAATTTTTATTAATAATTTTCGTAAAAAATTAAAATTACCTACAGAAATTAATTGAATATAAAGTATATAACGTTTTTGTGTTTAATATTCATCCTAGGAGTTCATAGTATAATTTTGTATTATCTTTGGTGTGCTTGTATTCATACAAACACAAATACGCATACATTGACACACACATACAAATCACACCTAGATACACACACAGACATATACATGTTTTAGAATTTAGAATTTTGTATTTAGGTATGTGACTGTGAATATGCGTATACGAGATATAAGTGCATTTGTATGTATGTATGAGTGTGTGTGTGTGTGTGTGTGTGTGTGTGCGTGTGTGCGTGTGTGTGCTCGGGTATGTACTTCATTACGCGGCAAAAAGGTTTCATTGTAATACATTGACGCACCGTGCCAAAAAGATGATGGCCGTTTGAATGATGGCGGGGAAGATTAGGAAGAGGAAGATGACGATAGTGATGGTGGTGGTGACGAGGGTGGGTTGTGATTATGATGATGGAGATGATGAGGAAGGAGAGAAGGAGAAAAATTGTAATGAAAGAAAAAACAGTCACGATGATAATGATGATGAAAATGGTGAGCATTAACAGTTTATGTTTCAAATCTGCTAATTAATATAGTCGTATTTATTTATGTTACTTTCATCCTCATCACCATCATCATCATCTTCTTCATTATCATCATCACCATCACTATCACCACTGCTATAGTTATCATTACTATAACTCTGGCTGACGTCATTATACAAAACATTTTTCAGTCTGTTTGCACTGGACAAATATCAGACGATCGTCCGCTATTATTGAATTGAATTCATCTGCATCACATCATCTTCTCACTTGCTCTCTCTTTCTCACATGCACATACACACAAACAAGAACAAGCACACTTACACACAAAAGCAGACAGACTTTCACGCACATAAAACTAAAATTTTTAATAGCGCACACATACAAACACACTTGAAATGATACACACGTTCATATAAACAAGCGCACACACGTGCATAAATTCACACACACACAAATATGAATGTATATATACACACACAGACACACGCACATAAACACATGCAAACACACGCACACAAACAAACACATGTATACATTCAAGTGACTTAAAAAATTTCAAACGTTTCTAACCTCTCAAGTTGTCGGCTGCACCGGTTCTAATAACATTACCAAGACTATCTTCTTTTTCATCATTATCATCATCGCCATCGTGTCTTATATTATCATTATCATCATCGTTGTTGTTGTCATCATCGTCATCGTCGTCGTCATCATCACCATTAATGAACAGTTCCAAACTTTCGTCCACAACTGTATCTGTCCGGTGTCTCACTTTACTCCACTTTTTGCCACGACTGTACTCGCACGACGTGATAACTTCGTCGTCATCGTCATCTTCATCGTCATCATCGGTGCTGTTTTTGTTGCTGTTCTTTTTACGGCGATTGTGGACGATAATTATCTTGCTGGGTTTGTTTGTGGCTGCCACTGTACCTCTGAGTCGAACCGTCAACTCTGTGGTTTGTTTGTATATTTATATGTTTGTTTGTTTGTATGTATGTTTGTTTGTGTTCGTTTATGTATGTTCACGTTTTATGTATGTTCCAAGTCTTTGAAAACAAATCATCGTGATGAATGCATGGATTATCGTTAAGATAAAACAACCTATGTAAACAGAAAGTCAAGTATATGTAGAGCTATGTATTTGTTAAATGCTTGAAGACTAACATGGAGTTAGCCAGCTTATGGCTAGCTAACAAAGGGTTAGCCAACTTAGAGCTAGCTAACATAGGGCTAGCCAACTTGAGACCCCTTTCTCTTCTTCCTTCTCATAATTTCGTGTGATGGCAAATTTTGCGTGGTGAAATTCAACCTTCTAAATGTCAAGTATCTGATAATTTGTGCCACAAAAGCGAACGTCATACATTTCTTTGGCAGGCAGATAAACGCCTATGAAACTTTGTACGTTGTAGGCTGAGACCTCTTTACATTCGAATGCAGTTTCTGTAACAGCAGGACCTAGCGCCTTACCACTAGACCATCTCGTATATGTATTTTTATGTATGTATATATATATATATAGATATATAATCTGACGTGTATACATGTTTGTATGTGTATATGTATTTGTGTTTTATTGTTGCCAGCATTTGAGATTTTATTAAATTTGAGATGGTAGGACCGTGCTACTTTATTACCGACATTTACATTCTTTTGTTGCCGCTGCCTTTTCCTGCTACTGATGATGATGATTGTAGCGATAGTGATGGTGATGATGATAGTGAGGATGATGATGACGATGAGAATGTAGATGATGATGATGATAATGATGATAATACTGGTGTTGTTGGCAAGTATTATGATGTTTTTGGTATTCGGACCAAACAACTGACCAACCGACTGATTGACCAACCAACCGACTAAACAACAATCAATTAATTAATCAATCAATTAACCAACCAACTAAACAACCAACGAACTAACCAACCAAACATCAAACCAATCAGAAATCCAAACTGTACACAAAACTGTTGAAGTGAATACTCATAAGATGAAAAAATGTTTCTTTTTATCACCAAAGAATGACCACAGGGATCATTTTTTATTAAATTGATGAGAATTCTTTGTTGGTTTTGTTTTTTTTGTTTGTTCTTGTTTATTCTTTATTTATTCATTGCTTATTTTTTGTTTATTCTTTGTTTTAACTATTTTTGTTTGTGTTTTTCTGTTATTTATGATTTTTGGTTCATATTTCTTTATGACATTTTTTTACTAACATTTTGTGTTTCTGTTTAATTTTATTACACCTGTAGTTATTCCTATTATGATAATAATTAAGTTCAATTCATTGCTCCAGTTTGTTGTAAAACAGCTACATTTGATAACTTAGTTCACAGAATTGTCAGCTGTGTTAAAAATTTAAATAAATGGATGACAAGCTACAGATTTAAGCTAAACAAGAGTAAAACTCAACTTCTGCTTGTCGAAACCTGGCAACAAATCGCAAATGATTCGTGTCAACTCCATTGACAAATCTGGATAAGCTATCCAGTTTTGTTCTTCTGTCAATAATCGGAGAATCACGTTCGATCAAAATATGTGTATGGATAATCATGTCAAAAAGTTGTACAAGGAATGTTCATTTCAACTTGGAAGGCTCAGACAGATCAAAAATTCGCTTGATAAGGATACATTGAAATGTCTAGTTCATGCGTTTAATCATTATAAGCTAGCAACTATAATAGTGTTTTCTATGGTACTTACAAACAAAATCATATGCCAACTACAATCAATTTAAAATCTAGCAGATAAAATTAAAGATTAAAGCAGGTGGATTAAAGTTTGTCCATGGGGTCATAGTTTATAGAACCTGCACCGACTGACTGTTAGGCAAAGAATCAAATTCAAAATTGCCACCATGGTATTTAAACGTTTGAATAGTCTCAGTCCGAGGGAGAAGTGTTTGCACTGGTTTACACCTGCTCAACGTTTTTAGGTACGTTTAGATTGTCAGGATCATCTATCGGTACCAAAAACACAATTGGTTGTAGGAAAAAGGAATTTTTCCGTCACTGGTTCAAGAGTTTGGAATAATTTACCATGCCACTTTCGTCAGCCTCGATTAACTTTTTTACAATTCCGTAAAGAACCAGAAACTCATCTTTTTTATAAATTAAACCGCATGATTTAAGCAGCGTTTTTGAGAAGTTTTAAAAGGCGCTAGAATATAAATTCTCTCTACTGATCCATCCAAATTCATCTATCGGTACCAAAAACACAATTGGTTGTAGGAAAAAGGAATTTTTCCGTCACTTGCCGGATCCCGCCTGGCTGGCCGCGGTTTTCGTCACGCCGCTCCGTATGTCTGGAATGCGTTACCTCCTGAGTTAAGACAATGTTCCTCGTTGAGTCTTTTTAACACGGGCTCCGGGCGCCTCTGAAGCAGCTGTGCAAATGGGCGCTTCATAAATGTTTATATTATTATAATTATTATTATTATTACTACTTATAATAATACATACATACATACAATCAGTGTCATTCATCATGTTTTGGTTTTTACATACATACAAACATACATACATACTTACATACGTACGTACAAACAACTGACATACACAATGCTGTAACAATGGGCGCCTGTCTGCTTTTGATGCAAGTGCGAATGCATTGATGACAATTATGTCTAGCTGGATACGACGCTTGCATTTTTGAACAGATGATTATGATACAGATGATGATACTGATAATGATACAGATGATGGTACTGGTGATGATACACATGGTGATACTGATGATGATACAGTAGGATATGATGATAATGAGATCAACGAAAATTAAACTTATAATGATGTTGATGACGATGACGCTGATACTAACGATGACGCTAATACTTATACTGATGATGGTGCATACACACATTCACTCACTCAGACACACATAACCACACACGCATATACACTCACATATATATATATACATACATACATGCAGACACACACACACATATATATATATATATATATATATATGTATTGATAATATTAAATATTAATTATTAATATACTTAAATATGGCTTCCCGTATCCAATAAAAGTAAAATCGCTTGGGCGAACATCTTTTGGCGCCAAAACTTAAAAAAAAGCCGCCTGAAGATCTGAAAATTTGTTTATGAGATTCCTTTTCTTTTCTTTTCTGAAACTTTTCTTTTCTGCTTTTCTGCCAATGAATCGTTATAAATAATTTCACAGAATCATTTTAAAATTACGATTCCTAAAAATGTTTAGATTATTTTTGCCGCAATCAAACAAAAACTGTAGGCTTTTATGGATATACTTTTAATCGCAGCTAAATTGATAATAAAAATTATAAATAATAGTAGTAGTAATAATAATAATAATAATAAAAAGAGAAATAATATTAATAATAAAAAGCGGATAACATATTTACGACATCAGTAATTTGTGTTATGGAGACGGGTGCCTTTTGTTTATTGAGCTATAACTCCTCAACAAAATGAAAATGTAACTATGTAAGGTTTGCACATCTCTCTCTCTCTCTCTCTCTCCCTCTTTCTCTTCCCATCTCTCTCTCTCTCTCTCTCTCTTGATAGATTTTACGTGCTATTTCGACGAAATGCGAAAATAAAATATTATTGCAGTTCTCAAAATATCTGCTTAGAGCTGCATGATACGGATGCTTACGTTTGGGATTTTTCGGTTGCTAATTATAGATTTGTGCGTCAGTGTGGATATATACATATAGGCGTGTGTGTGTTTGTATTTGTATATAGATATACATATTTGCACGTGTGTGTGTTGTGTTATTTAAGTGTGTACCTGGACGTGTTTACGTGTGCATTTATAAATTTGAAGTTATGCTATTTCTTATTTCTTTACTTGTTTCAAATTTTTTGCATGCGTATTACGTTTGCACTGCTATAAATACGACTTTTGTCTCCAAATATGACGTTTTTCATTGAATATGGAGGAAGAAACTGCTTAAAAATGCCTGCATGTGATGTGACACGCAAATGTGTTTGATGTGCCAGCATAATGCGTACGATGATGCGTTTCTTATACACATACACGCTGGATGTTTTGTAGGCGGTAGCACTGGATAACTTACAAGAAAAGAAGAAGAAGAAGAGAGAGAGAGAGAAAAAGAAAGAGAGAGAGAGAAAAAAAAGAAAAAGAGAATGAACAATAGTCATAAATTACAGTTTGATAAATTTTGAATTTGCATGTGTGGGCTTCTGAGAATAATTGTTGGGCTGATAGTGTATTTATTATGTTTGAGTGCATGCATGCTCAAATTAGTGCTTCAGATACTTTTATTGCTCGCTGCACCCAGCAATTCTCAATTTAAATTTAAATAATCACTGTCCTAACGCTGCTGAGGTCGTTGTTGTTGATGCTGCTGTCGTCATGTTGTTGACACGTTGTTGTTATGTTGTTGTCGTCATGCTGTTGTTGATGCTGTTGTTGTTTTGGAGTTGTTTATGATGCTAACGTCATTGAAGCATTCGTTAATGTGATTTAATAGTATGGAGATAAATTTATTTCTTTAGCTTTTCATTATTTTTTTATTTGTTTTTTCTAGGAATAAGACCGGCAAACGCATTTATTGCCAAATCATTAACATCAATTAAAAAACTTCAAGGGAAACAACAACAACAACAAAATTTTTTAAACAATTGAAACAGCAACAAAAAAGAACAAACTACACAAAAGCAAAACAATAAAAATGAAGCAAAACAAAACAAAACAACACTGAACATTTAAGAACAAATTAGGTATTTCCTTCTTCAAAAAATTCTCTTTTTAGACTAATTGGCGCAGATGCAATAACATTAATTTTCTACAAAGCTGCACCAATTCCACCCATCCATCCATCCATCCATCCATCCATCCATCCGTCCATCCATCCATCCATCCATCCATCCATCCATCCACCCACCCACCTACCCACCCACCCACCCATCCATCCACACAAACATTCAGCATGGTCCTTATTTATGTGCCTGCCCATTTAGTCATTCATCAAAGGATTTATCGGCAAATGAACGCACATACACACACACAAAATACACACACTCACACAAACACACACACACACACACACAATAAACTCACACACACACAATGCACAAACATACATGGAAATATCATACAGAGAGAAAATCTAACATTTCTCGATATACAAACATACAATCCAAAATATACATAATCTACCTTCATAAATTTTCAAACAAATATCATACGAAAAAACCGAGCAAAATATACAAAAAACTGAAAAAAAACAATTTTTTGTATTTGCTTACATACTTACAAATAAAAAATGTATTCAAATATATTGGCACAAGCAGTCTTATATCAATGTTTTGCGAAATGTACACTTACACATACTATTAAAACACACAT